TTTTTTTTTTTTTTTAAGGCATTTTAAACCCTTCCCACACTCTTGCAATATTCCAAACAATGTTTCTAAACTCTAAACGTTCTACGAGCACAGAAGGTCATGAAATCAACTCTCTGCCTTCCCTCTGCCACATCTGATGTCGGCCACGCCCACTTCTCCACTGCAGAACGGAAATCGACAGAGAAGGCGGAGCTGCAGGAGGAAGCTTCTCCTGCAGCTGTGGGCTGCACACAGGTGCAGCAGTGTGCTAAATAATTTAAAACATTTCATTTTAAATAAAAATTCCATGCCGATCATGTGGCTCATCCATCAGTCAGTCAACTTTGTGTCATGTCCAATCTTATTTTGAAAAATCGCGACAGAGCGAGTCGGCGAAAAACGAACCGCGAAGTAGTGAGGAACTACTGTACATATCATTTTCCATGTAGCTTTTGTACCCGACTATGATAGCCTATTGTTTTATGTCAAACTGTGTTAACTTTGATATTTTTCAAAGTTTCTACTGAATAAACAGGAACACAACGTGCATAAAAGGTCCAGTTCTTTTTTGGGTTGTCTGTTGTGTCAGAGCGACACTTGTCCATCTCGTGAGTTTCTGTGCCTTCATATATTGCTTCATATGTTAAAGTTAAGTGACTTAACTTACATAAAGGTAATAATGATAAATTAATCTGTGACTCTTTCTCTCAGCTCTAACCTGTGACAGCAGATTGTGAAGCTGCCTCCAGCTCTTCAGGGTTCACGATCTGCTCTGAGCTGACAGGCACGTACTGGATCTGACCGTCATGACTTACAGCGATCTGCACACACAACATTTGACAGGCAGGATTAAACAAAACCAGACAATCCAACATAATCCAGCTCACTTCGAGAAGTTCACCTCACCTGTTGCTCATGCTCATACTGGATGATCTGTCCATCTGGTATCTGTAGGACAGTTGGACAAAACATTTTCACACTCGTACATTTCCAGCAGTAATGATGACTTCTTATGAAAAAATACAGACGTGTTACCTGAATGTGATTACCGTCAGCAACTACTACATATTCTTGAGGTATCAGGTGCTCCACTCCATCCTGTGAGATGATGTACTGAACCTGAAACAACAAGCGTCACCAACATGAGACAGCAGCTGTTAACATACAGCTGTGTTGTGCTAATGCCGTTTTTAATCATTTGCTTTAGGGTACCTATCAGATAAATAATATAATTTCCTCCTTTTCAACAAACTTTGCTTTTCAGCTGTTTATGTGCGTTCAATCTCACTGCAGACCAATAAATGTGTAAGTGGGGTCTTACCTCAGTGACCTGATTGTCTCCTGTCATCAAGTGCTGAACCGTCTGCCCATCTAATGTGGAGATCTGCTGGATGTATGAACTCTCCTCCTGATTCAAGCACACATTGATCAGATTATTAATAACACAGAAAACAATTTAACTCCCAATACAAAATATAGGCTATCTGAGGCAACAAATTGCCAGTACGGTAGTCCCTCATTTATCATGGGGTTTAGGGGACCACGCCCCCGGCGATAATTGAAAAACCATGAAGTAGGGATCAGTTTCACTCCCAGTCTCCCACCTTCTGTCTAATAAACAATTTAAATAAAATAAAAAACTGTAATCTTTTAAATAAACAATCCATGCAGCATTATTACAGTATTTACATTTAAATTGTAGAGAAGAGAAGTGCAGCAGGACAGCAAAGGGTTAACCCTTCACGGAGCTGCTTCAGCTGGAGGAGAAATGTGTGGGTGGCAGAGAGCCGCAGGTGGCAGAGAGGAGATCATGACAGGCTGTGGAGGGAGCTTCTCCCTGCACCTGTGGGCTGCACAAAGGTGCAGCAGGTGCTAAATCATTTAAAATAAATTTTAAAGAAACGATCCATGCCGCTCGTGTGGCTCATCCATCAATCAGCCAGTTGTGTGTCATGTCCACTCTTATTTTGAAAAACAGCGAAAGAGTGAGTCCGTGAAAGTCAAAACGCAAAGTAGCGAGGGACTACTGTATGTGGTTACCTGGTCTGACAGTGCCTGCTCCTGAGCTACAATAATGTGATCTTGTCCCAGGGTTTGCAGCCGCTCCGGAGTTATCACCGTTTGATGCGCCTGTAAGGCTGATGCACAAAAATAAAATAAATAAATCACACATTTATAAACACATTCTAGTCTCCATTTGAAACAAATTTTAAATCCTAATACCTGACATTACTCGTGTTCTGTGTTTAAAGGTCAAACTGTGGTGTCGTGTTTCTTACACTGCAGGGTGGCTAAGGTCTCCTCCTCGCTGTTGAGGATAATGGTTTCCTGAGACATCGTCGTACGGCTTTTCCGAGCAGGATGGTCGTCACTGTGGAGACGCTCCATGTGAAACTTCAAGTGGCCGTTTCGGTTAAACCTGGAGGTGTAAACACCAAAAACATTAACAGCTGTTCAGCACATCTTGCTGTGTGTTTAAATCCTACAAAGAAACCGTCATGTTCCAACCTTTGGCCGCAAAGTTCGCAGGCGAATGGTTTCTCGTTGGTGTGCGTCATCATGTGTCTGCGCAGGTCCTTCTTGTTCTTTGAGGCAAAGCTGCAGCTTGGACACTTGTGAGGACGCAGGTAGGAGTGCATCCCCATGTGAGCCTGACGAAAGGGCATCAGAACGACAGAAATGTCTTAAAAACGAGGTGACATATCTGCATAAATGCATGTGCGAGAGGAATTTAAAATCTAAATGACTAAGGTGGTACATTTTATTTTAATTATGATAAAAATAACAAAAAATACAAAAAATGCTGAGTGACACACTTTGACTTCAAGCCAGGAACTGGAGGTATAATCACAGTCAGGGCATTTAAAGGTACTGGGGTCCAGGTGTGCCCTCTTGTGGTTCTCCATGTCGGAGCGTCCATGGAACGACTCCATGCAGATTCTGCAGGAAAACCTCTTGGTGGTGAGGCTGAGGGAGCTCACTGCAGGAGGAGAGGATGGAGCTTCACTGCTCAGCTGTCAGAAAACAAACAGTCAGACATAAGGAAAACTGAAAGCCACACTTTTATACGACTTTGTTTAAAGCAGGAAGAATAAATGACCTCCACTTGTTGCAACACACCATCAGCCAGGGCTGAACTTAGATAGTACTTGCCACCTTTCAGGCTCTCTGACCCAGAAACTTCTAAAGCCTGAGAAGGACTGCTCTCTCCATTACTGCAAGACAAAGCATAAAAGTGATCAAATGCATTTGTTCTCTTTGTAGGTATATTTCTAATTAGATCAAGTGAAATTGTCTGTGCTATATTACCTGTACTCTGGACTACGACTTCCTTCATCAGGCTGCTCCACTACACTAAACTCCCCACTGTCCTCATAAGCTTCAATAGCAAAGTGAGCAATCTCTCCAGTTTCCGTGGTGGTGGCCTCGTAGGCCACCGTTTCTCCATTCTCATTCACATGAACGGTCATAATCTTTTGAGCCTGACAAGGTGCCACAGTTACAGCTCTGATCGGACCCTTTTCCACAGGTTTTCCATCCGAATTCAGCACGGCTACCTGTAAAGAAAGATAGGTTCACTCAACTAACCGCAAGGATAAATACCAGAGCTGCATGTTTGGAGAGTTTGGGATGAACCTGTAGAGAATTTCCAACGAGCTCACGAGCGTTGCTCATATTCAGCAGCAGGTCCAGAGCATTTTGAGCTGACAAATCACCAGATTCAGCTGAGAGAAAGAAAAAAAGTCAAAAATGGTTTGTAAGGTAACAAAGCACAGTACAAATAATACAGTATGTTGAGAATAATCTCCCCTAACCTTGTTCATAGATGATGGTAGTGTTTCCCAATGCATCCTGGGACAATGAAGCATTTTCCATGCCCTGCATGGCTTGTATTGTCTCTGAATCCACAGTGACCTGAAGAACATTGATAAAACATAAAAAACAAAGCACATAATAAAGTGCAGAGTGAAAATTGTTAGAAAGCTTTAAAGACACTTACAATAGTGCTCTGCAAAGTCTGCGTGTCATCGTGTTGTTGTCTGAGCTCCTCTATCTGCTGCAGGGTGAAAAAGGGTTTTCGCCGTCTTCTCACCGGCTCTGCAGGGTGAGCCACTGACCACTCGTCAAATATCTCTGGATGGCGACACTGCACGTGAAGACGCAGATTTTTCCTGTGCTTGGTCATGAAGTGACACATACTGCAGGAAAAAGGCTTCTCCCCTGCAGAGTTACAGCACAACAACAAGAAAAACGTTGGGGGCCGTTGTAAAAATACATAAGTTTTATTTAAACTCTGAAGTCCTTCCTGAATTACTAACCCGTGTGTTTGATGGCTAGATGTGAGACGAGAAACTCTTCTTTGGAGGTGGAATATTTACAGTAGTCGCATTTGAAGGGTCTGTCGTTAGTGTGGGACAGCTGATGGTTGAGAAGCAGCTTCTTGTTTTCACAAGTAAAATCGCAAAACTCGCACTTGAACCTAGCAAACATTCATCAACAAGTCATCTGGTGGGATTAAATGCTCATTGTGACAAATAAAAGAATTATGGTAGTTCTGATTAATCTGCTTGTTGTAATCATGTTTTTGACAAAAGAACAAACTAATGCATGAGAAAGGAAAGCTTTCAGTACTGACTTGTTTTCTCCAAGGCTATGGATGTGGGTTAACAAGTGCATTTTGAAAGTGTACCGCTTCTTGAAGGATTTACCACACTGCAAGGACAGAAAGGTTTCATCTACAAGAGGTTCAAGGAGATTCACAGTGACTAATGAGATGTAGGTTCGATGTTGTTAATATGAATTAAAATGCATAATAGTGTTCCTGACCTTATCGCACATGTGTGGTTTCTCAGCGCTGTGGGTTTTCATGTGCTGCGTCAGTCTCTTTTGCATGGGGTAAACCTTGCCACACACAGGGCAGGGAAAGTCTGACACCTTGGGGGCCTGCAGGAATCAGAAGTCACAGCTGAAACGATTCTGCATGCAGAATCAAAGACATGTGTTGATGAGCCACAACTTTAAAACCAACAACATGTGAAGTGAGTAGTTCATCTTGTGACGATGCGATGAACTGTAAAAAGTTTGTGGCTTGTGGGAGGAAACTGGAGTACCTGGAGAAAACCCGCACAGACACAAGAACATGCAAACTCCACCCAGAAATATGCCAGGTCCAAACTGGGGCTTGAGCCCAGGACCTTCTGGCTGTGAGGTAACAGTGCTAACCACTAAGCCACCAAGTTCCCCCAAATGTTTATGTTTACTGCAAGCATACTGAAGTCTGAAATGTTTGGTCATTTGAAGTATTGAATTTAATGGTAATTCTGCATTAATTATGTCTCTCCTCACAGGTGATGTTTTCATGTTGTGGCTAACTAAATACATTATCATGCAAAAAGCACATTAGAAAATAATTTTAAAATGTGGACAAATAATCTTACCAACTCAGTTTTTCTTTTCCTGTAAGGTAGAGAAAAAAAAAATCAGCCACAATAATATTAAACCTGTAAAATATTTTCTGATGTTCTATGAGTAACTTACTTGTCTTTGTTGTGAACTGCTGAGTGTCGCAGGACGTCTTTCTTGTAAACACTTGAGTAATCACATTCTTCACATTTAAATGGCTTTGTGCCCTCATGATTAAACATGTGCTCCTGTAACACAAAAAGATTCCAGTGGTTCAGAGAAGTTTTTTTCAAAGTGGGGGCTGTAGCCCCCCTGGAGGGTCGCCAGGGGGCGCCCCAGAAAGCTGGAGAGAAGAAGATTAACAAAAAGGAAAAATAAAAAACATAGTAATAATGGTAATAAAAATTTCCCACTAGGGCAATCTGTTTCTGTCATTTCCAGAAAAACACACTTTAGAGAGAGGTTAGATGTCTTTTGTTTTGTTCTTCTGGTCAACAGTTTATTGAAAAGTTGTTGTTTTTTCCAGTGGGAATAAAATACAGTGTTTAAAACATGCTAGTTAATAACATTTTTATGCTCAGCAGCTGTAATAGTGAATAAAAGTCAAAACATTCTAAAAGTTTATGTTTCTTTACATTTTGTAGCATTGTTTGCGGGTTTCGAGGGAGGCCTCGGCCAGAAGCTAATGCTGTTTGGGGGTCATGGCATGGAAAGGTTTGGGAACCCCTGTTAAAGCACTGTGGAGAGTTACGTTTGAACTGAGGTTAATCTGGATGTTGGGATTTGTTTTATTCACGCTAACCTTGAGTGAGGACCAGCGCTTGGAGCGATAGTTGCACTGCAGGCACTTAAAGAGCTCTGGGTCGTTGCCTTCATGAGAGTCCACATGAAAGCGCAAATCTTCTTGAGTGAGGAACCGAGAACCACAGATCCAGCAGTTGTGAGGTCGCAGGAGAGGCTTCAGGGATTTATAGTACCGACTATAAAATAACGTACACAAATAAGCCATGTGTTGTGAAAGTATTTTATAAAACTTTTTTGGGGAAAAGTAAATAAATTGAGACTTACTTTCGATTTATGTACTTCCTATATTTCTTGCGTAGGAAGCGCTTGGATGGCCTGCCCCGTTTCCTTGGGAAGAACTCCTCCTCTGGCTGGGAGTGGGATGAAGGATCTTTGTTCTCAGAGTCCGACTGGCTTATTGCTGCCTCAGCTGTGTCTCCATTTGTCTTGAGCCCAGCTCCATTGCCTAAACCAGAAGAGCTAGCCTCTTCAGATACACCAGCCTCAACATCAACTCTGGGCCGTTTGGGGAGGCTTTCTGCTTCTGTAACAAACATTTCAAGACAAAGAATGATGTCGTTACAACTTTAAGATTTAAATTTATTCAGAACCAAAATCCTACCTTTGCTGCCGTGACCTTCACCTGAAACGGAGTACTTCCTCGGACGACCAACTTTTCTTCGTGGACGCCCTGGTGAAGAGGAGGAGATGCGAATAGTGGGTTTCTTGAGAATAGAGGGGGGTGTTCTTTTGCTTTCCTCATCTACTGGGTTGTAGTCACTGTCCTCTAGAAAACCAGTGTGAAAATTAAACCAAATGGTTTTGACCGAATGAATGACAAACTCTGTTTAGGTGTTAGACCTAAATCTGTCTCACTGACCTTCAGGATCATCGATGGCTCCGGCATCCACAACATCGTCCTCCTCTTCCTCTTCTTTTACCTCAGTTACCTTCCTCTTTTCTGCCTCTGCTCTCTCTGCCTTTTGACGAGCTAATGTCTCGCTTTTTGGAGGCCGGCCACGTTTACGCTTCTTTGGCATTTCTCCTGAAAAAATAAAGAGCTTACTGTAAGTCAGAGCAGCGACACACATTCCATTGTTGAGTCAAGTCAGCAACCTTACCAGCAGCTTTAAAGTGTTTGTCCCGCATGTGGTTAATGAGCGTGTCTTTGGATGCGCTCTTGTACGGGCACATCTTACACTTGAACTGCTGGATGATCACCACCTCCATCATCTCCTCCAACTCAGCCAGGTTAGGCTGGTGGTCTCCAGAGCCCTCTGCCACAGTTGATGCTTCCACGTCCCTGGACCGGCCGGCTTCATCCTGAGAACCTTGGGGCTCCTCTTGGCAGGGGGAGCTTTGGTGGGGAGGTTCAGGTTCTGTATTAGAGGCGTATGTGCCACTGCTACTGATGTAGAGCCCAGGTTGACTCTCGCTGCATTCCAGAGCCTCAGGAAGTCGGACGGAACCAGCCGTGTCTGCCAGCGGGTGGTCCGATGAGGAGCTGTCGTCATGATACAGAGAGCCCTCAGGGCCATTGCTGTTCTCTGTGTAGCAGGAGTGCTGTGGTTGCTGTTTAGAATGCTGTGGCTGATCCGGATCTTGATTCTGTTCATCATCATCGTCGTCGTCTTCATCATCATCATCATCATCATTTCTGGCTTGGTACTGAGAACAGCCCGGCTGCTCAGAATCTGCGGCTGCAACACATTCTCCATACTGCCGACTTGTCTGAGTCCGGTGGTCTGCGCTGCTGTCGATGTAACTGCGTGAATGGTGTGGCCGCTCTCGGTCATCCATCACGCACTCGAGGTAGCCGGTGCTGCACTCCACCACACAGTGACTTCGGTTGGTGGGATCCGAGTCGGCACCACGGCACTCTACATATCCAGGCAGGTCCTGGTCACTGTTATTCCCACTGTAGTCAGGAAAGCCTGGCTGAGAGCGAGTCTGGTCAGGTTCCTCACCTGAACACACCAAATAGGTAGAGGAAGACTCCTCTGTCTGATCTGGGCCATCTGCACTGCAGTCCATGTACTGGGAGGGGTGGGAGTGTTGGGGCTGGTCAGGCTGACTATTGCTGTCTTCTGGGTAACCTGAGTGTCCTGGCTGATCATCAGGCTGGTCTGGTTCAAGACTACCCTGCAGATCTCCCTGGTCCAGACACGTGGATGTGGGACCTTCAGCAAGGGCTTCTACAGCTACACGGTTAGACAGGGCAGAAGATGACATCTGGGCAACCATGGGAGCCCCTGCACCAGACAAACAAGCCATTTCATTCCAAAGAATTAGTGGTGGCAGCATCTGAAGTAGAATGATAGATTAATAACTCAGAAACAACAGCTCATTTACCGTCATCAGGTCCTTGTAAAATCAGATACTGGGTAGTTTCTGCCCCTCCGTCCTCTGCACTTGTCACAGCTATGCAACCTAATTAAAATACAGCAGTCAACATAAAAAATTAGGTTTTCAAAATACAGAAAACTCAAAGCTTCCCACTGAATGTGTGAGGAACTGAAATATAATTATAAAATACCATTCATGATATCAGGACCGATGGTGGATTCTATGATCTTGTCGATAGCAGAGCCCAGATCTGATGAAGTAGAGGCGGTGGAGTCAGAAACCATCATAGTTCCTTCAGACACAGCGCTGGAGTGGACCAGGACCTGGGCTGATTCTGACACCAGCAGAGACTGAGTCACTGTGGAGACACTGGACACGCTGGTGGACTGGGCTACAGAAGAGGAGTCAGGAAGATGGACCGAAGAAACTCTGACATCTGTACTAGAGCTGGTTTCTGGAATGAACACCTGAACAGGCAAGTTTGTTATTTTTTTTGTCTCAGTTCAATTTAGTTTCCCTCCCACAGGCGTATGTTTTAAAAAACTTACCACAAGTCCTTCTGAGCTCTGTCCCACATGACAGTCTGACTCTGGGGCCTGTGAATGAGAGGCAGCAGCATCACTGCTGTCTGCAGACATGGCCTCTGATGATTCCACTCCTATCCCACTTTCTGATGGCTCCTCCATCCCTGATGGGCCAGCATCACTGCTGCTCTCCACCTCATTCTCCTCTGAATCCATTCCTATATACGGTAGATTCATTCAAACAAAGGTTTATCCTCAAAACAAGATTCAAGGATTAATGCAGTTTCAAAAAGAGACAGCTTAATCATGATTAATGCTATTGGGACAGTCGGTCGTTTTAACGAGTGGATAAATTTAAACGTTTTGTAACTATTGGTTGTCATAAATAAATGTAAAAAAAATATTCCTTTTTAAAAACATCTAGACTTTACAAGTTAGAATGGATTTATGTGATAAACTAAACATAAGAACTTCCCTTTGGTTATTTTGCTACTTAAAAGCTTACAAACATATCAGTATTTCCCTGTAGGGTATTAATTAATACAATTTCTGTCAGCAGTTCTTTTATTGAAAATTGATTTATAGGAATCATTTTAATCTGCTTAGTTCTATTTAGAACCATATATACTTTATAAATAAAAGGTTTGCCACTCTTACACAATTTTAAATGTCAGGCAGCACATTCAAAATTGCACAAGTCAGTTTATGAAAGAGCATTGGCAAAATGTTTGAATAGCATGCTTTGTTCGGGGTTTCGTTTTGTAGATGTCAGTTTTTGGTTCATCGCATAAATCTGTTTTGATGGTAAACGCCGTTTGTTTTGAACACAAAGTTGTTTAGGAACATCGCAGACGATAGTGAAGCTAGCTTAGCATTAGCGTCGTGTTTATTAAGTAGCCTTTTTGCTTTGCATGTTTGATTTACAGCCTAAACATTCTGTACTTTAATCCCAATGGCACACTTGTGGTTATAAAAACAGAGGTAGTAGACATCCAAACTACTGAGTTCCTGCAGAACAATGTCTGTTTAGCAAAGAGCTTAACGTTCAGCCGTTTCAAACAGGCCTAGCTGCCCTTTATCCTGCCTGCTTCGCTTAGTCATTCTCTACCAGAGTAGCCTCTTTTCCACTCAGGCATTCTGTAAGCTCTACTGGCCTGGGGACCTCGTGGGCCTCGGTGGTGAAAGACCGTCCAAATTCTCTCCCTGAAGAAAATGAAAATACTTTCCGTCTCCGACACTAGATTCCCGGCTCTTTTTTCTTACCGTGCAGTTTTAGGGAGAGTAGTATCCTTTAGCGTAGAGGAGCCGAATAGGACACTAAAAAGGAACTGATAATTGTTGGTTCTTTCTAGTCGGGCGCCATGAGTCTCTCCTCGCTTCCTGTCCGATAAACCGGATCTTGTTTATTATTTTTGTTTGCTTTAGCGCTTTCTGGTTTTTAAACAATAATTTTTTTAAAGCGATTTTCGATAGGTAATTACCTAATTTTACTTCTTATGTAGATACAAGTGATAATTTTGTAACGTTACATTTGGCGGACTATTGTTTTAGAGGTGGACGTATAACGCAGGATGCGGAGTAATATGCTGCAAGTGACTACATCTTGGGATCTGTTTTTTCAGGCTCTGTTTTTAATCTGAACTATAGTATATAACATTTACTTCTATTTTATTTTTTAAAATATCCACTTTATTTTATTATATTGGGAAAATTTTGTTTGGCCTACAGAAAGTTATACCTTTTAAACAAAATGTATCATTTTAAAGTTTTATGACGGGTCAAGCAATTAAATATTTACTGCATACATTTTTTTTACCACATAGAAATAAGAAACAAACTTACCTGCACTTAAGTTAAAGCTTTGTTTATTTTTATTTTTTGTTTATTTACACTCATTTTAATTGTTGCAGTATGACGTTTTATAAATAATTTTGCAATTGTTTGATCAGTTTTTTATTTGAGTTCTTTGTACTATCCCTTCAGTGCATTTTTCTTTTGTAGTATATGGAAATTTACATTTTATATATTTTGTTACAATCTTGTTACTGGTTAGACCTTTTTTATTTTTATTTTTTTCAATAAAGTTGGTTTAAAAATGAATCAGATTACTGAACATCCAGTGAAATAAAAGCTGTGTCAAAAGCAGGTTGTATAATATGCCCGTTATAAAGAAGGGAATTATCTTACGTTCATCTGGTTTCTAATGTAATAAATTTGTTTTTAAAGTTTTATTTATGCACAGAAATTAGATGAAAGATAGTAGTTATTAAGAAATGGGTGTCATTCTGAAATATTGTAATCAAGGATGGCATTACAAGTCTTTAATTTATTTACTTTAAATACACATAGATATTATATTTTAATACTTTATTCCAACTTGCATTTCTACAATTAGGGGCCTGAAAATTATGCTGTTGTGTAATTATTATTTCCCATTGTTTTTATGTATTAACTTAATTTTACATGTATATGTATCTGTATATTTTTGTTGAATTATGTTTTATTGAAAAATAAATAATTGAAGAAGAAAATGTGAAATAAAAATTAATATTAATTTTTTTAACAACTGAAAATATCTGCCTATTATTTTAGGTATTGTTGTTTTAGCAAACAAAGCAAACAAAAAATATATATTTTTTAATATTCTTGAGATATTTCATCAGTTTGTGGTTGATTTAGCTCTATTCAATTAGAAATTTAATCTGTCATCATTTATGTCGTTTTGATTCAGTTAACAGAAAAAGTGTTGTTTTTTTGTGAAAGTATAATTCATAGCTTGGAAAAATCTTAGAATATCAAATGGGGAAAAAAAACAATATTTACAATTTAAAATATAAATAATCTCAAATCTAGCTATCAAAACAATAAATCTTCAGCATGATTTTAAGAAATATGTTGTCATAATTTTAAAAACTTGGACAAAAGTTCATATTTATTAAACGATAATGAATTATTTATTTCCAAGAATAGCTCAAATCTTTACTCTCTGCTTTAAACTTTCCAGGTGTTTTACCTTTATTCTGTGTTTTTTTTCTACATTCACAATCTCTAAATTCACATGGCAAACTCTGGAGAACATGTCAAACCACAGGAGAACAACAAGCTTCGGGTTCATAAGTGATTCTGCCTGGAGCCAGCTGTGTTTGGAGGAATAATTACATTCTGTCCTTGTTTAAATGACATTTATCATTTCTGTTTGAAACCCTCTTGTGGCATTGAATGCAGAAAATGAGCATTTTCATTAACAATGCGATATGGATTTCTGTTCTGGTAATTAGTTCCCAGCAATGCATGACTGGACTTGGGAGCTTCAGTCTGTCAGGACAAAAATGAACCATCTGTTGGTGAACAATGCTGGCTCTGTATCAATCGGAGACGGGACTCAATTAGAACTACCGGTACGGTAAACCACAACTGAAACAACATACCTAAAACTAACTAGATTCATGACTAACATGAATTAATGTAAAACATCAACAAGTGCCCAGCCAGAGATCAATCTGCATATGTTTACTTTATTTTTTTGTATTTTTCTAAAAATCATTTGTCTGGGCTTCTCACATAGATTTCGAGGCCTGTATGTATAAAGTCTATTTAACTTTAGTTCATATAAACTTGTCAGTTTGGTTGACTGAAGCTGAGCAATTTACCAAACAGCCACAATTCCCAACTATCATGCAATGGCTTTTTTTTTTATTTTTGGCTGCTCCCTTCCTCAAGGGTCACTACAATGAACTAACTCGCATGAGGACTTGGTATTTGTTTTTACACCGGATGCCTTTCCTGATGCAATAGAGCTACCACAGCGCTCTGTGTGGAGCAGGGGGCTGCCATCAGGTGCCCGGGAGAGTGGATGGTGGGGTTAGGGGGCTTGCTCGGGGGCCCAAGGTGGAGATGTGTGGGCGCTTCACCTTTCCCACCCACATATTGTTGTTGTCAGTCTGGGGAGTCGAACCGGCAACCTTACGATCACAGGCCCACTTCTCTAACCTGTGCGCCATCACTCCCCTATTATACAATGGCAGCGTTGAATAAAATTACCTGTAGACAACTGTCTAAATTATAAAGTGATACTTTATTTGCATTAAAAAAGCAAAATTGATAGCTTTATTTCTGTTGTCCTTAAATGTTGAATCATTTCCAGTGATTCCAAAATATTAAGTGCATATTTTAGGTACTCATTGCAGTGTCACAAAAACATCAAAGAAAGAAACAAAATTTGTACAGTTTGTTTTCGCGCATCACCGTTTAATGTGTCCTTCAGCAAAAAATACCTGTAAGCAAAATTAATGAAAGGTTGCTACGTGTTTGTCACTTGACTGAAAATGAGCTGGATGTCCCCAGAAGAGCTGATTGGGATTGAGAAGTTTAAAAGTTTTTGGTATTTACTCTCAGATTTGTTGAGTAAAGTACAAATGTATGCGGATAAAAGTGCTTTATTTTTCATTCACCACATACCTGCATTTCAGAATTCCACAATAATATATCTGGAAAACTACTGGAGTAAACTCTTTGAAAGTGCACCATTTGATTTAGTTCAGGATAACGGTTTAATGCTTATTTTTATATTTTGTATGGAAATCATTTAATAGGAATGCCTTTGTTTGATGTTACTACAATTACTTGTTTTGTTTTACTTTCAAATTCTCCTTTTGTGGATGAATAAATGTAAATTTTCAATGTTTTGTTTAGTTTTGATAAATGACTGAGTGCTGACAGTAGAAAATGTTCTCACAAAATATTTTATTGCATTGAAAGTTAAAACTTTATTACAAAAGCTTAAGCTTCATAAATAATTTCATAGAAGGAGACATGGAATATCTTCCAGTGCAAGTATTTGGCTGTTGAGCCATTTTCAGAAAGACACATATAATCACACAAAACAAATAAGCCTCAGGCACAAAAATAATATTAACATTAGATAGCTATAAATACCAAAATATTCCAATACTGTCAAGAGTCTGAACCTGTCAGACGAAGAATTTAATCTGCAAATCTGGAGATTAATCCAGACCACATGTATTTAAATTATAGCTGTGGTCCTAAATTTAAGGTCCCCACAGTCATGGGTTTACTAATTATCAGGGCTGAGCAGTGCCAAAAATGGTGCATTTGCTTTCCAGTCCTGGACCTTTGATGCACATGTAGGCCAATACTGTATGTATAATTATAATCAGCCAACTTCAACAGAGGCCAATCATTCACATTCCAGAAAGCACAGACATCGTACAACGAGCACGCTACGCAAAAACTGCATCCACTTTCTGTCCACACATGCATGCAGAGAGAAGTTGCTGTCAAAACATCACAGACAGTTTGTTAGCTCGATCTGTGCCAACGCCTCAGTAATGAATGCCTGAGTTCTCTGGGCATCTCAGGAGGTCGTATTTCACGTAGCCAACGCGGTCCACCTGCTTCCGGGAGTTCATTCTCCAGTAGAAACTATCTCTGCAGAAGTAAATGTGACCTACAAGAGAAACATGAAATTAAGTAACCAACACAAAAAGAACGAAATCCTGACATGTCTTTCTTTTATTCTTTGATTTTATTCATTGAAAGCTGATTCAGCACTTGTTCACATATTTGTTTTCACGTGTTTTTTTTTTTGCAATCTAACCACCGTCAAACTTTTTGCTGTTTTAGCCATTCATCCTTAAAAATGTCCGGAGTTGAGTGCTATGGCTTTGTTTTTTCAAGCATTTTTATACTTTTTAAAATATTTAACCTTATTTACAAATATTTTCCCAAAATAAAATCATTAAATATCTTTAATTCTCTCAAAAAACATAATTTTCTTTGCAATCTGCTTCAGCGGATTTGTTTTATTCTTGTCTTTGTTTGCTACTTTTACTTTATAGACACTGTTTTACAACTTGTAGCAATAAACTACACTTAGCTACACACTTAAAATACACTTAGCTTTTACCTAACATTCTGCTACTTTGAAAATTTTAACTAGCGTTATGCTACTTTTAGTTTTTAGTAAGTGTTTTTACATTTAGTTAGCCTTTGTTACTTTCATCTTTCAGCTAGCATTTTATTACTTGTAACAAATTTACTCTTTTTAGCTTATATATATAATTTTCTTTTTTTGGCCTTTAGCTATGTGTTACTTCAAGTTTAAGGTATGTCTGTATTTACCTTTGTACTGGAAAACGTCATGAGCATCATTGGGGACACCACCAAACACAATGTCGGTATATTTGGGGTAACCTCTATCAGTCGTTTGGGTTTTGACATCCAACCTGTGTAGGTCAGAAAACAAAATATATTTAGCAAAGACAAAACATGTAGTTTCAAAAAAAATTGTGGCTTTAGGCTCATTGTTGCCTGTTGACGATAAACGGCGCTACACTTCTACTCGCCTCCAGAAGTTTTCTCCATTGAAAAGCAGAACTTTGCCCTTCCCCCTATGCAGCGCTCCCTCAACTTTCTGAACGCTGCTGGGCAGACCAAGCTTCTCAATGCTGCGTGGACCCAGAACACTTTTTCCTGTGTACACCCAGAATCTTGTTCCTGTGGAAATGAAACCAAACCAGCCATTAAGACCTCTGGAAAATTTGTTCCAGGTCCAAAAAACACAGATATGAGTCTTGTTACCTGAGAAGAAGTATATTTTCTTGGATGGAACATCCTCAAAGGCAGAGTCAATGACGGCTGGCAGAGCTGGCCATCTCTCAGAAATAGACAGGGGTCCCTTGTGTCCTGCATCACTGCGGCTGGGTACCTTCCAGAAATGTCTGTTGATCGACATGTAAAATTAACACATCAGCAAGATTTAATTTCCTTAATACCAAAACAAGGATAATGCAGAGTAGAAGGAATAACTTGCTCACCCATCATTGAAGAAGTGTAGCTCTCCCTCGATCACAGTGATGGTGTCGAATTTGAACGTCTTACACACATCTTTGTTTGGATCCACAGGGGATGGGGTGGTAGGAGTGGGTTCAGGTTCATCTGTGGGGTCTGGGTAAGGATTGGTGGTAGGGGTTTCGGGTTCAGGATCAGTGGGTTTAGGGCCTGTTTGACTTCCTGAAAAAATAAATACAGTAAAAGTTGAGAAAAGTATGCCGTGTCATTTGTTTTAATTCAGCATGAACCTGTCATGACCTCACCATAGAGATACTGAATGCCTTCAATGTCATCTGGATGCAGAGAGAAGTTTTCCCTGTAGGAGTACATGGGGTACATGAGAGCATCACTGATGCTGGAGTGATCTAAGCCAAGGGTATGTCCAAACTCATGGGCTGCCACTAGAAACAGGCTATAACCTGGAACATTGAAGATAAAACAATATAAGTGTGTCATAAAATACACATTTGATTGCTGTTCTTTGTCCATCTCTGATTTCTTTTCCTCACCTTGATCAGGACAGAGGCCCCATTTCTTGTCTTCATCATAGTTCCTGGTGGTACTGCACCACAGCCTTCTATCTCCTCTCCCCTCACTTGTACAAGAGTTATACTCTTTTTCCAGAAACACAAAAGGAAAATGGCAGGGCTCTCCCTCAGAATTTCCTCCAATTACAGCCGTGTCTGCAAACAGAGACACAACACCAGCAGTTAATTAAAGTAACAAGCCATTGCGGTGGGACTCCTCAGAGTTTATAAGCATTGTGTTTTTTTATTTTATTTTTATTACGGCTCACCACGGCTGGGACAGAATCCATATTTCTTGTCCGTGTCAAAGTTGCTTGTGGTGGCGCACCAGCGGTAGCCGTCATTGCGGCCGTCTGTGGTGCAGCTGTCATACTCCTTCCCCAGAAAGGTGAAGGGGAAAACGCACTTAGCTTCATCAGCATTTCCTCCGAATGTGTACAGAACTGTTGGAGGGACAGTCAAAAGCAGGGGTGGGTGAGTTCCAGTTTTGTTCCATTAGCTAATAAAATCCTGCAGTGTGCAATTAAAAATAAACTGTCAGGCTTACGTTCACTTGGGCAGAAGCCAAATTTCTTGTCCCTGTCGTAATCAGATGTAGTTGAGCACCACGGCAGGTTGTCTGTACGGCCCTCAGTCGTGCAGGAGGTGTAAGATTTGCCATCAAAGTTGAAGGGGAAGTGACACATGGCACCATCAGCATTCCCATAACGAGTCTTCACAGCTGACGAGAGAATTTTGTATTTTATGGTAAGTCTCTTCAGTGAACACTAGAGGGAGTCGACATTTTACATGTAAGATTACCTGGTCCTTTTCCCAGAGTCCAGAGCTCATCATCATCAAAGTGGGCATCTCCCTGTAGCCCCTCACCAGGAGCATAGGCGTGAGCCAGAAGTCCATCTTTACCATCAAACGGGCTTAGATCCCCATGTTCTAAACAGAACATTCATTCATTCATCAGGATCTGATTTAAGCAGCCAACATTAATCTGCTGTTGATTTGTGAGAAAACAAAATAAAACCCTGCACATATTGTGCAGAACATACCAGCTTTTCCAAACAATATCATGATGTCAGCTGTGTCTTGGAAGAGGCGAGTAAAGGTCAGAGGGGTCACGTCGCTCCACACCTTGAAGGCTCTTGCAAAGGCGTCATCAATCAGAGAGCTGTCCATGTCTGGAGAATAGTTCATGATCCTGAGGAGACAGAAATTTTAGATGTGGCGATAATTTCCATGCTGCAGGGTTTGATTCTGATTAGTGTTTTGTTATTGTCAGCTGAACCTTTTTCTTTCCACTTACCTGTAAGTTATGTCATTGTGGTCCCATTTGAGGTCTCCAGAAAAGGTTTTATAGTTGGCGACATCAGGAACGCCACAGCGGGGTTGTTTCATGGCGTCCAGCGTCTGCTTGTTCAGCTGACCGGTCTCCTCCAGACCCAACTGTCTCTGCAACCTTTTCAGGGCCTTGTCTGTGGATGTTATGGACTGGAAGCCACTGCGCTGAACTGTGTTCATGTAGCCAAACTTCTTTAGATAACTCTGGAGAATACAACAAATCATGTCAGTGTAGAAAAATCAACACATTCTATCACTTTGAAAAAGTTTTCTTCTACAATCTTCCGTGGCTCCGGTTTAGAATATATATATATATATATATATATATATATCTTCATTAACACTGTGACATAAATCATTGTTAAAAATAATGAGTTTTCTGTGCAGCTTTATTGCCCCTTGTTTGGGGAGTCTGAAACCACTGAGACAAAACAAGCCATCTGCTACTTACCTCTGCCAGCTCCATATCAGTCATGTTTCTGATGATGTCTCCTGGGAAGGTGACAAAGACTGACTTGAGGGGAAGGCTCCATCCGTTCTGCACGCTTATTCCCAACAGCAAACACACTACTAAAGTGCAGCACCTCATGATGAGATCTACAGTCGACTAGCAAAAATATAAAAAGGCTAAAAGAAACAGAGGGTGTGCAAAACCTCAGAGAAAGGGGAAAAATAAGAAGATTATTTTGAAGATCAGCAATGTTCTGCTCCAGTGGTGTCTGTTTTGGATGGCAGCTCTTGTTCTTGTCTCCATGTGTTGTGTTTCTGGATAGGACTGTAGACCCTTATTTATACAGAGTACAGTCTTAGTCACCTAACCTTGTTCCCGCCTACAGAAACCTCAGTCCTCCTACTTCTAGCTTGACGAGCATGATGGAGTGAACAAACACGGGACTTTCCAAAACATTCATGTACATCTTCACCTAAAAAGAAATTAGGTAGTTACATCACTGATTTTCTTTTGGATTTTATTTAAGCTATGTGTGGGAGAGCAAAACCGTTCAACAATTTATGATGCTTGCTTGATTTACCTAAAAGCACATATATCAACTTACAAAATGTATTAAATCTCTTAAAAGTATTGTTATAATTCCCATAAAATAATATATAATGTGTTAGAAATTTATGAAGACTATGCAACCTGTTATTTTCCTAATCTGAAAAAAAAGCCCAGCATTCCTTGAAGTGATGAATCTAGAAAAGTTTTAGACTAAAATTATCTTGTGTTGAAAAGTGTAATTGTAGTTGTTTTGTCCGGCAGGTAATATTAAAGTTTTAAGCAGGAATGTCATGCAAAGAGTTTTCCTTGGCGTATAAGTTGTGAATGACTCCCTGCTACTTACTACCACAATGAATTTTAGCTCAATAAAGGTAAAACTGACTGAAATATAATAAATGTTGTATTTTCTAAAATTATTTTGCTGTGGTGGCCTCCTTAAAAAGTGCTATATCCAAAAACAAAACCAGTTGTAGATATACATGTACACCTCCAGACGCAGGAAGAGGGCCACCTACTACACGAAGGACCCCACTCACCCAGCACATACACTTTTTGCCCCGCTCCCCTCAGGCAGAAAGCTGCGGCACATTAAGAGTAGAACCACTAGACTGAGGAACAGATTTTACCCTGAAGCTGTTTGACTCATGAATCTCTAACCAGGAAAATCACTGTAAGGAAAAAAAAAAACTAATGTCACTTATTGTATATGTGACTTATGCTGCTGATGTCATGCCTTTATGCTGCTGTGTTCATTCATACCCATCTGCTCAATACAGACTCATGTCCGGGCTGCTGTTTAATATACTGTATTATTTTACATTATCAGTGCTTTGAGTATATCTTAGATCTTTTAGTGTATCGTTTAGTGCATTGTTTAGCATTTGTTTAGAGTATAGCTTAGTGTATATCTTGGATCCTTGTATACTGTTTCTTTTTATACTTTACATTTTTGCTGTTTTTGGGTGTAACTGGGACCTTGAGTACACCATTTCGTTCCACCTCATGGAACACATGTGATACGAATGACAATAAAGAACCTTGGACATCTAATGATTATTTACTGAAAGTGTGATTAATATTTCTTCAGAATTGTGTGAGATATTTTGCTAACATGCATATTCATATTCACATTCACAGGCAAAATCCTTATTATCCACCTTAGTCGGACAATTGACTCAAAACAGTCTGCTCCTCAGATAAATAATGTTAAATTGTTATTTTTATATATGAATGTTTCTGTTCAGTGTCTTGAGATGACTTCTGTTGTGACTCGGCGCTATATAAATAAACTGAATTGAAAACTGAAATTAATCTCGGAGAATAAACATCACACTGAGAAGCTTAATGTGCTTTTGTTGTCCTTCTGAATTTTATGGAAATTGCTCATCTGTTCACGAGTTCGTTTATTATGAAGCATGCTCGTCATGGGACCGAGCCAGACGCTTCTGTTATTTTCATTCTCAAAGTGGCCATGTATATTTAACAAGAAATTTTATTCTAGTTTGTTGTCCAGAAATAGAAGTTTCCTTCCGTTTTTATCCAAAACTGCATCCTAAAGCGGAGATGGTCAACAATAAGGTAGAGTCAAAAAGAATTAAAGCTGTTCTGTTGTTTTACTTATTGTGATAAAAATCTGAAAATATTCACATCTTAAATGTTTTTATTCTGTGTGATAAATTACAAAAGAGATTAGGCAAAGTTTTTGCATGCGCGATTGCTGCAGGTTTGAACAAATTACGGGAAACACCTGCTCCGTTATCACAATATTTGATGAAGCAACATCTCCAATAACTCCATGAGGAAGTGACACATTCTAATACGGTGACTTTTATGTCTTATTTTGTAACAACTGTTACACTAATTCTGTTCTGCTTTCAGAGACAACAAAATGTTTAGTTTCTCACATGCAATCTTGTTTCACAACAGTAAACGCACAAAAAACACAACTATCTAATTAAAAAGAACATCGTGCGTAATCTTATGCAGTAGAAGATTTTTGGAGGATATGCTGGAATCATGGTGGCCAGACGTTAGACATCATGTCACGACTCGCTGGGATCCCACATGGATGATGAAAGTTGTTGATCAGGGCTTTTATTTCAAATGAACATCTCTTACAATGAAACACACTTATTAAAATTAATTCTTTAGCATTTTTTACCTGCAGAAAAAAAAAAATCTTGATTGAATCAGCAAATTCCATGTAGAGCAGAAAACAGTAACGCTCGTTTAATCACGATCTACTAGAAAAATTACATTTTAGAAGAAAATACAGTTTGAATGCCGAGTTCTGGATGGCCGCAGGAATTTTCTTAAAAAGGGGAAACTAACTGTTAAAGGTAAAATAAGCTAAATTATATCTAAAAGCAAAAAGTAGCAAACAACAAGTTAAAAGCTAAAGATAACAAAAGGCTAACTAAATGCCAAATGTAATAAAACAACAATTAAAATGTTAAAGTAGCAAAATACTAGAAAAAAGGGGAAAAAAATATCAAAACACTAGCTAAAAGCTTAATGTACCAAAATGCATCAACAAGTTAAAAGTAGCAAAAGGCTAGCTAAAACCAAAATAGTAGCAAAACTAGCTAAGGTAAAAAAAAAAAAATGTCAAAAGGTTGGCTTAAACTATCAGAACAGCAGCAAAAAGGTAAACTTATCTGAAGACAAAAACAAAACTAAGTTGCAGAGGCAGATTTTAAAACGATCAATGCTTTTGAAAGAATTGCATCAGGAATATTTCTATGGGGAAATATTTGTAAATAAACTTCAATATTAAGAAAAGGATCAAAAGTTATAAGACTCAAATATAAATGCAGCCCATTCATGGAGGAGCTGAACGTTTTACCATGTGAATGGTTAAAATACTGCAAAGTATGCAGAAGTGGATTGGCAAAAAAATATGTAGAAAAATACATTCAGACAACTAAACAAGTGCACATAAACATAGATAGAACAACCAAATTTTAGGCTGTTTTGTAAATAATTAATAGCACATTTTCTGCCTTTTACTTCTTCCTGTTACCTTCTTTGGAAGTCTTACATCTTTCAGTGAGGAGGTATGATGTTATGTCGTGTGTGTGTGTGTGTATACAGCTTAAAGCAGAAGGTGTGGTTGATGTGGCAAACACTTTGGCACACACACGCACGCACTCCCCCCTCAACCCCCCCCCGACACACACACACACACACACACACACACACAGTAGATGTGACTCGGAAGTAGCACGTAATTCAGCAAATGAGTAGTTTGTAAGAAATTTAATCATAAAAATAGCAACGCGTCACCTCTAAAGTTGTGATTTTATCTATATTATTTGTTCCCCATCCGGATTAACAATAATACATTTAAAGCGAAATATAACTGGTGACAAAATGGCTATAAAACATCAAATAAGCACATCCGGCAGTACTAGTTACCTTGTTTTATACTCAATGTCTTCTAAAAACCTTTTGCTTTGTTTTACTGTTTAACAGATGCCATCTTCATTGCTGTATAATCATATTGGTCGTTTTCATTATGTTTCCGCTCCATTCATCTGAAAATAAAATTTGGACACAGCTAATTTTCATTTGTCTTTTTTTTTTTTGGTCATTAAGATAAAATATGAAGGTTGGCTTTGTTTATGTGCGGTTCATGTGTGGAACATCTGTCTTCTCAGCTCTTCTTTAAAATAAAACATCTGCCACTGATTTCTCATGGCGTCAAAGATTTAATGAACATGGCTCCGTGGACTTTTTATGAATGCCACATTTCATTTGGGTTTGCCACTTTACGTCCAAACTGAACTCTGGCACAGACCCTTTAAAAATATATACTTTTTTGGGGGATGGCATTCCCCCAAAAAATTCCCTCGATTGCAGCTCAGCTTACTGGCACACACAATGTGTCCATGTGAGAAGGCAAACTGCGTCACTGGAGAACTGGATAACATCAGAGTCGAGCGCTGAGACCCTCATCTCTCATGAGGGTGTTTTTTTTATGTTAACTATTTTTGGGATAAAAGCATGCAATTATCCTCTTTGTGACAATTCCATATACACCTCTAAAAAGTGACAAAAAGCATCATGTTTACCACTGTGAAGCAGCAACTTTTTTTTTTTTTTTTTTATAATAAGCTGTAAACGTCTATTAACTGAGGAGACCAGTTTCTGCAGTTTGATGCAAGTTCTAACTGTTTAACAGTCCTGGGTCTTATTTGCTGGATTTTTTTTTCATGATGTTCTAAATATTTTCAGTCCCAGCCTCTACTACGAAGCCGTGCTGTTACAATGGATGCAGAATGTGGTTTAGCATTGTCCTACTGAAATATGCAAGGCCTTTCCTGAAAAAGACCAAGTCTGGATGGGAACACATTGTTCTAAAACCTGTGTATAGTTTTCTGCATGGATGGTGTCTTTCCAGATGCATAAGCTGCTCATGCCATACACACAAATGCATCCCCCATACCGTCAGAGAGGCAGGCTTAAACTGTTCACTGATAGCAAGCTGGATGATCCTTCTCTTCTTCAATATGGAGGCTATAGCATCCATGGTTTTCAACAAGAAAGTCAAATTTTCATTTGTCGGACCACAAAACAGTATTGTAACA